GAGTAGATGTCTGTAATTTCTCTTGCCTCTATAAATACAAGACAAACCTAACCGATGCTTAGTGACAATTATACCATATTATGGTGCTGTTGTATGTGCAATGTTCAGCTGAGCTCATTAACTGGGAAACGCTTGTCTCCTGGTTCTTCTTCAATCAGCCAAATACAAAGGTCAACTAATTCCTCTCGCTGTGTAAAACTCTGGCTTGACCCTACATGGGAATGTGCGCACTCTACATCCTGATATATTTTGTATAATTGTTAAATATACAAACATTTCTGAAACGTAAACATATTACAAATAACTGGAGCAGCCACACCCTAGTGTAAGACGACCACAAGCCCCTGCACAGATAGTGTGAGGAATAGGGAAGAGAAGTGGCCCTTCAGGTCTGAGGAAAATGCAGTCACATGCAGTCTCCACATAATTTTACCATAAAATAGGCAGCCATTCTCAGACAGAAATTTATCGAGGAGGTCGTAACATTTTACAGCTGGTGCTCTGTGCTGGATATGATCACATTTGCTCAGAGCTATTGAGATTATGATCCCGGATGACGATGTTTTACCACAGACAGCCCATAACTTTGCTACGATTATTTTGATTACTGTAAAAATTGCAATTAACGACCAATTGCAAGCAATAAAGAAGCGGAAGGTTTCCTGTATGATTAAATGTGAGTAGGTTTTACTGATGAGCTTGTAGTTAGATAGAAGTGTGTTAGAAGCTGATGTCAGTCTATGTTTGATTTAAATCACGGTGAACCATGATAAGACTGCCTTCCATTCAGAGGCAGACGGCATCATGTTTGCCATATAATCCCCCCTGAGTTACCATCAGAGCATGTGGCCTTTTTCAGTCTAGACTACTTTATCACTTAGCTTGTTTATAGATCCACAAATCAATTTGTGGGGAAAAACAAAACGAATTAAAGAAAAATCAGAAAACTGGAGATATGAAAGTCCTTGTCTTTATTTAATTGAAGTTATGTTGACCGTTTCCCCACAGACAGCGTTGCCTTTTTATTGATAATGAGCAACAACAGCAAATCTGCAGAGCACTGGCACTGCAGAGGGGCTTAATTAAGGACTAATTGACTTATACTGTATTTTCAATTAACTGAGATGTTTGAAATGGCGTGACAATACCACACTGACAAGCTACACCTTCAGACAGCAGTTGCCTCACGCAGATTGGTGGAAATGTCAAGAAGTCATATTTAAGGGGCAGGGGAGGGAAATAAAAGGCTTGAAATTGAAAATCTAACAGGATTTGAGATGCTAAGGAACAACATTTCTCTTCTCTGATGCCTAACAAAGTGGGCGAGCATGGGAGTGGAAATGCAATTCTCTATACTTGTGCAAGAAGGGGCTGTCTTTTAAGAGAGCTATAATATGCAGATTTATGGGAAAGATCCAACAAGAAGAAGTTATGATTATTATATACAAGCCATTAAATACTAAGCTTAGCATGTCAGTCCCAATGTACTGTGGTTCAAATATACAATCTCTCTATATAATCTCTCCGTCACAGGCAGTGAAAATGCAGAAATTTACAGATCACACAGATCTGTTGTGACACCTGATATGAGTGGCGTTTAGTTGCTATCACTGAGCATTCCTCAGCCTCCACTCGAGCAGATACTTCACTTAACCTGTGAGGGGAAAATTTGAAATTCCAGGGCTTCACGCATGAAAGGGAATACAAATGACGCCTAATGTATATCAATGGGAACCGTGGCATTCAGGTATTTCACGCCACATGCCCCGACAGAGGCGAAACTGAATAAGTCGTCAACTCGCATTGAAATTCATATTGTATCCGCGGCTGGAGCTGAGCCCATTTTCTCCACTGTGCTCTCGCCATGAGCCGTACAATAGTCAGGGAGACATCTAATGAGGCAGGAGAAAAAAAATATTAAGAGGAAAATCCTTAAACTCGAGCGTTGGCAAACTCAACGGCCATTCTCTAAATTCAATGCGAAAATCTTTTGACGGAACTTCGGGCTGGTGGGAGGGAGAGAACAAAACGCAGGGAGAAGAAAGGACTGACTGAGATGGGCTGTGACAGCGTCGGCTTTGGTTTAGTCAGCTTACACAGGTGAGTGAGTCTGAGGGCAGCTAAGAGAGGAAAGGCAGGGGGGGAAAGGCTGGAGCGCATCCATCAGAACAGGCCGTGGTTCGGAGAAGGCGGTTTGCGGCTTGTTCACATCTCGATCCAGAAAATCTCCCTGCTCCCTACCATTACATATCAGGTGCTCTGGAAGGCCTTCACTCTTGACTCAGTAAGCCGGCAGTGCACGCCAGCTCATGTACAAAGCAGCTATCCACTGGCACTGCTGCCTCATGACATCTGACCTTTGGGTCCCCTTGAGAAACACACCCCACTCTCCATCTCATGGGATTTTTCCTGCTAAAAACCAATTTGCAAAGTTGGTGAATAGTATAAGATTGTTTTTGCTATGAGAATGTACTTCTGTTAATGGCTGAAATGTATTCCCTCTCTAAGTGCTATTGAAGCCCGAGTGTGTTTAGGTTTTCATTTCAACTTCACATTAAAGCAGCTGATTTCGCCAGCGAGCTTGTGCTTTGTGCTAATCAGCAGTAATCACCTGCTGTGTCTGGCTGGAATAAAAACTTGCAGATTCCTGGGCATCAGTAGCACAGTGTTTATAACCTTAATCTATTTAATCTTTCTACTTTAACCCCACAGTGGCTTCATTTCAAAGTGAAGATATCTACATATGCTCATTTGTAGCATAACTGTATTTTTCAGCCCTGTGATTTCCTTGTGCAATTACACTGAGCAAACTCCCCACCCTTCTGACTCCCCCTCTCTCTAACCCACTCATGTTTATTTCTACAGTGTGATGTGTAACGTGTCCTCATTATTAATCCTGCTGACAAACCACGTTGTGCTGTGATACACTGTGGGTAGACCACACAGCCACAGAGAATAAAAGCAAAGCATATGCACAAACATACACTGTAATTTGAATCTCCACTTGACATTAACCTGTGCCTTTTATCAGGCAGCTGTTTGCAGGCAACATCCTATGCACGAGCCCATTTTAAATCATTTCCAAGCTCCAGCCTGGTAGATTTCTGCTCTGCTCTGGTGTCACTATTGTTATGTGCAGTACAAACTTCAGCTCTCAGTTCTGGCTACATGCTGCCTCCTAATGGGGAAGCCCTGCTTTGTCAATCATGACTCTGCAATTAGTTTGTCAAAGTTTAGATTCTTATCCGTTAGGTAAAATCTTCAGGGAAGGGTCTGATTGGTCCCAAATTCATTCTGCAGCTTGACAACGAGCTCAAACACACAGCCAGACACGAGAGAAACTGAGTTCTGCAGCAGCTGTCCTGGCCCTGATCTCATTATCATGGGGTCGGTCTGGGATTAACGTGTGTAAACAGAAGACACAGACAGAAGAACTGTGGCACATTCTCCAAGATGCTTGAAAGCACCTGCCCGCCAAATACCTTGTTTTAAAGGCAAAAGCTGTCACAGCAAACTGATTTGATTTAGGTTTTTTCTGTTTACTGCACTTGTATGTAGTTAAGTTACAAATAAAAACTATTCACAGAACTATTTTTGCAAACATCCCCACTTTACATTTAAGGCCAGAAACCTGTGCACAGGACTGTATCTTGTGGTGAGGAAAGTGATGCAAGCGCCGCAGCAGACCCGAGTTAACTGTCCAACTCACCTGACTTATTCATAACATGGACCTCTGACACCGACTGATAAGCCCTGGCTCACAGTCGGGGTTCCAGTTCCAGCTCTGCACCAAACTGGGAAAACCTTTACTTTATGGTTTTGTCATGTTGAAACAGGAAAGGGCCTTCGCTAAACTTACACTTGGACACACTGTTAAATTAAGTAGAAGCTTATTCTGGACTAAGTGCTGCCTGCAGAAAGACCAGAAATACCTGTAACTGATGATTGGACTGATGTTATTTATGTCTGGAGGTCAAAAAGAATAACCGCCTCCAATGGCCTGCAACAGGACAAATATATGAAAAAGTTGGATCGTATTACATTTGTACATCATTTGTTTATTGTTAATTTCTGTTTTATGATTTGAGGTTTTATTTATAAAAATACACCACCTATATTCTGCATTAAGTAGCTTGCCTTTCTGTTATACACTTTCATTTTCATATCTTTAAATCATTATTTTGTTTAAAATATGCACAGACATGACTACAAACGAGAAATGGGCCAAGACACAAAATGCACAAAATCAGGAGCAGGGGTGTCCACACACTTTCAGCTACACGGTCCAGACTTTATTTATATTAGAAAAGTGTGACTGAAGGCCTTTTGTAAATTTACTCAAACTACAACTTAGTTGGTTTCCTTCACTGCCCACTGAAACTAACAACAACAGCGCCCTCTGCAGGTCGAACACTGGAACTTACTGGTTACCTAATTCAGTTGTGTTACTTCTTCACATTGTTACCCAGCTAACATTCACGTTTGTGCAGTTTTTTTTAATACCCGAGAGGTACACAACCTTTTACCATTATATCCCCAGACCCTTGTTTTTACAAAACACACTGTTTGTTCAGAGAACATGAATTTCAAAGAATATGCCTTGAGTGATACTAGAGAACAGTTTTATTCTCTAATACAGAAAAAGGAGAAAATCAAAGCAGCAAAAAAATAATAATTACTGCTGTGGTTTTGGGTTTAGTTTCCAGCACAAAACTGGGGTTTAATAGGCTTTCATGAAGTCAAGAGGAGCAGGAGAGTCTGGTTTCACTGGGATAAGGCAGTTGGAGTACAACAGATGTTCTTTGTTATGTCAGAGTTCTTCCATTTTTGTTTTTGATTTCTTCTGTATCCTGCATCCTGACATCTCTGCACATCCATCACTGTGGTCTTGTAATGGTTCATGTCACTTCCTGCCTTTTTCGTTGTCCTCCGTGGCTCCAGAAACCTGATGTTTTTGGCTCAAGATGACATTAAAAAGGTCTGACTTTGATCTTTCTTTGCCCCATTTCTGCTGAGATAAACCTGACCTTGTACTACAAAATACATTTAAAAAAAAAAAACATTCTGGTTTCCGCCTGCTCGTCAGCACTGAAAGGTCTGTTGGAAGTCATAAGAAGGTAGTAATGCACTTTGGGAATCATTTGTATTCCCGCAAACACAGAAACAGGTGAAATCTGGATGCTCAGGGCCACACTGTGACATTTCCAGCATGGTGAATCAGATAAACAGCACGCTTTGATGCTGACGAGTCGGTTTAAACTGGCCTCTTCAGCTGCACTCTTAAATCTGCCACATTTTCCTTTCGCCTCTACAATCTGACAAACAGGATTTGAACTGAAGCCTCCTACACAGTAAACAGTCAACAGTGAGTGGCTGAGGGAGATATTCTATACTATGTGTTTCCCACCTCATGCAATCTGAAACAGCAGCTGCCGGTAGTCTGTTCTTCTTCGACTGTCTCAGAAATGTCACCAAAGGTAAACAACAGTGGGCTTTGTTTGACAGCCAACAGTTGTCACCAGCGGGAATCGAACTCAAACTGGAAGAAAGACTGGGGTGAGGCGATTACAGTGACCCTAAAATGGCCTGTGCGCACCGGGCTGCTCCAATTCACTTCACCATGTAGGCTGCCACTTCCTTCTCCAGGCTCTGTGCAAAGCGATGGTTGAGGAAGAGGAGCTGCCCGTGAGGAAGCAGGCGGCTGAGCAGAGCATCGATACGGTTGCTCCTCAGCAGGACCTGTAGAGAAGGTGGTGTTAGTGACGAGCCCAGGAAGACTTTTTAATGAGCTCGGTTAGTTACAGATGGTAATAAAACCAGTATGGCTGCAATCCTGTTTTATTACTGTTGCCTTGTTGTTTTATTGCAATCTCCATAACATGGAATGGGTTGTTACTTTTGAGAATTTGGCCAGTAATGCTCAGCAGCAAGATTTCTGTGAAAGGAAAGTTAACTGATTTCTGTCTAATGAAGCCTTGGATGGATACTGTGTAAAAAATACCTGTTTTATCAGACCAAAGCAACAACTGGAACTGGAACAGAGAAACATGTTCCAGTAAAGCTAACCTCACTCAATCTGGTGTAAATACTGTATCTACTAGGGACTATTTTCAGCAGTGACTTAATACACCTTAAATGCTCTAGTGAATATTTTCAGCAGTAGGACTGTGGACAACAATGGAGCTCTATGGCACAGAGGAATAAGATATATCAGGCTGTGGATAAACAGACATGCTAGAAGGATCAGTCCGTCTTGGTTTTGATCTTTTCATGGGATTTGTTGAAGATCATCACATTTATCCTTTTATCCAAATTAAAAATTATCTCCTAAAGAGCAGAATTGGAGCTAAGCTCTCCAATTACAAATCTTTCCCTCCTCTAATTCCTGCTTCAGGACTGGCCAACAGGAAATCAAGCACAGCCTCCAACTTGTTCAATTCCAGTACAGAAGTCAGGCATATTTAAAATAATCAGGATCATTTTTCTCTTGAAGGCAGACCCATGACTGAACACTGGCCTGAGACCAGCTTAGTCCACAACATGGACGAAAATGACCTCTACGTTTTAACTTTAAGGGTAAAGTTAAGAGATACTAATATTTCTCAGACAATTCTCTGTTGCACCACTGGCTCACGTTGTGAAACAGGTACTGCACAGTATTGTAGCAGCCTTCACAGTGTTGAAAACCTCTGCCAGATCTGAGAAAACTTGAATCCTGTTGTGAAAACTGAAAATTTCACAGTTTTCTCTTGATGTAAGCCACATCAGACTATTGTATGTACACTTGTCAGATCTTCACTATATCACCACAAAGACTCCAGATGGATTTGTGAAAACAACAAAAAGAGTGAGTTTACAGCTTTTTCTTCATTTAGACATGTCAGACCTGGACTATGTTGACAACAAGACTCCACAGACAAGTTAAAACATCAGATCTGTGAAAGTGTAACTATGTTTATGAAAACAAAAACAGCTATTTCACTGGTTAGGAGTTAAGGTAATAATCCTGTGCACAGCCAAAAACAACGCAGACTCTTCATGCATCCAAAGGCGCTCAAGGGAAAAAGGATTCCCAAATGTCACAAAAATGTAAGACTCCAATGCAAACCATGTCTAGATATAATAAAGAATATATAATAAATACAGATATAGACATAATAAAGAAGATTTCATATCTAGACATCCCTGGTGTGCACTGGAATCTTATATTGTTGAGCCATTTCACTGGTTCTTCTCCATCCAAACAAGGTTTAGATTCAAGTGTGCATGTTAATCTAGTCCATATTTGATAAATCCACATACAGTGGTCTGAGTATGCTCTCATCTCTGCCTTATTACCTGATTTTTGAAAATGAAAATTTACACAGATATTTAACCCCATGCTGCCACGTGAAGCTGCCATTGCATAGAGTTTCCCTGTGCACCTCTTACAGAATGTACAAAAAACACTGAATCCACTTCTTGAAAATGAAATGCACTCTGTTTAGGGCTGTACTTACCTCACTCCCCTGCCCCAGCATGTGCATATGCTCCAGGCAGTATCGGGTCAAATTGCGGAGGGTTCCCTCGGCCAGCAGCAGGTTCTCGTGGGGCTCACAAACCAGCGTGAAGCCCAGACTCTGGACTCCAAGCCACAGAGCGCTCATCTCCTCAGAGAAGGGGTCTCCAGCTCTCAGACGCGCCACACCGCTGTCGGCCTCCTGCAGGGCCAGAGCCTCCTCACCCGGCACCACCTCCACCAGCAGCTGACCAGAGGCCTCCCGGGACAGAGACACAGCGCTACGGACCTGCCTAAAGAAAGACATGGACACAATCATCCGACAGATTTTTAGCTTTAAAAATGTCATACACAACATCTAGTCAATATTTTAAATGATGTTAAAATGTTATATTTTGTCTGAAAAACAAGGAACAGTGGAGGGACTATAGCAGAGGACAGGAGAGGGCGCTGCTGTTCTAGTACAGAGTTTCTAGTCAAAGAGCTGCTGCAAAAAACATAAGATGGTTATCATCCTCACTATTCCCAAGTGTATAAAGAGGACGCACTGTGGTAGAAAATGAACAGACAACTACTTTGAAATTTGATTTAATGAAGTTGTTTATCAAGAAAATGTTTCTCAGTGTGGTCATTTGTCAAACATACACCGGCAAATGACAGATGTTCCCTCATGTGGTGTTTTGATGATGGTGGTGGAGACGATGTCCAACACATCGCTCCAAGATCTGCCATAGCTGTTCAACTGGGCTGAGACCTGATGACTGGGAAGGCCAGGGCATCTGGTTCACATCATGGTCATCCTCATCAGACCAGTCAGCCACCCCTGGTGTCCTGTGGACGGGGGCACTGTCATCCTGGAGGAGACCACTCAGTTAACCAGGCCTTTCCCTTAGCTTGTCACCTGTCTGTATAAGCAGCATCTTCATGCTGCACCTGGTCTGGGACGAGCTAATTAAATATTTCATATAACGTTTAGTTTAATCTAACGCTATAACAACGAATCATGTTTTATTAGGTTTGCGTGTACAAGAAATCCTTAAAGTAACTAGTCATTACAACCAGCAGGCAAATAAGGATAATCACCTTTATTGGCCAAGTATGTTACACACAGGAATTTGTTTCCAGTACCCAACCGATGGCAGCCATCTGCGGCACCAACTCAACCGACGGCTCTAACCATCGGGGGCAACGGTTCAGTGTCTTGCCCTTGGACATGTGCCGGCACCGAGATTCGAACCTTGAACCTTCAACCTTCTGGTTGGGAGACGACTACTCTAAGCACCGCACCACTGTCACCTCCCCCTAAAATAGTAAGAGTAAAGACCGCTGTATTTTTCTACCAGTGCAGCTGAGTATATAAAACAGTTGGTTATCCCATCTCACCTTGCTACCATAGCTACCTTCTCCTTCTGCAGAAGTCGTCTCTCTTCCGGACTGAGCTCTCGGTGCTGGTCGGTCAGGGCTCCTTCATCTGGACCGAAAAGCCGGGAGTAAAGCACCCTGCTCTCCCCGGCAGACAGAGCAGTGACAGGGCACACGGTGTGGATCAGAAAACACCGAACCATGTTGACACGCGTGGACAAAAAAACACCAAAAGGCCACTTAATTCTCACGAACTATGTAGCTTCTTACTGTTATCGCTCACTTCCGCGTTGGTCAGCTGACCGCTCTCGGCTACCGTCGCTTTGCGAATCAGCAGATGGCGCTAACAGCCTGTATATTATATTATATTATATTACGTTACACTACATTGTATTATATTATGTAATCTTAAATTGGGTGTGATTTTAAAACATTTGTAATAACTTTGTACTTCTAAATCTTAATATAGTTTTACTTTTGTTGCTTAGATGCTTAGGAACGAGCTGTATGTGCTTGATAAATCAAATTAATGCTTAAAAATTGCTAAAATGATTCATTAACAAACAAAACTATTAATAATTGATTTTCTAACTAATTGTTTCACTGCCACTGCCTATTAATTGAGTTACTGAACTGATTAGATTTTCTGCCACACTAACATCTTAAACTCCTTTAATTTAATAGCCATTCAAGCCTCCACCACTTACAGTCAAGTCAAGAATCTTTATTGTCATTATGCATAGCACAACAAAAACTTTTCCGGCAGCTCTGGCTTAAAAGACAGACACATTATTTACATAACACTCAATTGTATAAGTAACTGTATTACAACTGTATTTGTTCCAGCACCACCACCAGAAGCTCTATATATGATGTTTACATTTAGTAATGGGATTATTTATTTATTTGTTTTTAGCTGTACTGCATTTATAGAAAGAAAACAGTCCTGGTGTTCTGTGCATTCTTTTCCAAAATGATATCACTGGAGACTTTGAGGAATCTGCACTAACAAAGTCACAGTATAGAAGTGGATGAAAGCAGGAGTGAGAGACAGGCAGAGGCTGCAGAGAGGTGGAGATCAGAGCTCAGCATGTCTCAGCAGACAAACAAAGACAGCTGTTAAACCAACAGCTGCTGCTGGTCATGCTTCTTTACTCTGAGAGGTCCTGCTCAGGGTGGGTGTATGTGTGGAGAAACTAGTCATGGAGGCAAAAGAAAGAAGGAAAACACTCACTCAGCTTTGTTAACATTCACTAGTCTGCCCTGTGCAAACCTGCTGAGACTGAAACACATAATAAGAACACCTGTGAGAGTGATCTTTGCAGAAGTCTGTGGGATTTCATCTTGTTCTCAGTGAAAACAACTTTTGTCATCTTGTGGATATTCTGATTGTTTCAGCCTTGTAACTGTGGCAGCTGGATGAGCATGAGGTTTGACAGGTTGAGTGTATTTTGGCATCTTTGCTCTAGGGATGGCAACTATGGTCAGTTTATTGCTTTATTCCAGTGTTAGGTATTTTTAGTCAGATAGGTATGGTAAAAAGTACCGGGTACAACACCAGAAAGAAATATCTCAACAAATACTGGATGGATCGTCATACAGTTCTTAGTAATCACTCATGGGTTCCTTGGCATTCTCCCAACTGTTCTCTAGCACCACTGTGAGATTCACCTCTGTGATTTCGGCCATGTGGTGCACAGCAGAATTTGAGTCTTGAGATCGATGCTGTCTGTCTTGCTCAGGCTAGTTCAAAGACAATAACAAGCAGCACCAGACAGACGAGTACTGAGTGATTTAGACATAATCTGAAGCCATTTTTGCAGGTGAAAACAGCTGCAGGACCCAGACTTACATTATTTAACCACTTATGTCATACATTTCACAAAAGGATAAGCCAGTACCTGTTTGAATGATCCCTTTGTTTGTCACTGTCATGTTTCTCGCCTCAAATTTCCACAAATGATATTTTTTTCATAGAAATCTTACATGAAGCGTTTCATTAGTATTTCTATGACACCCACGCTGCATGTAATGATTAGCCCAGACCTGTTTGTAGGCAATAATCTCCAGTAATAAAGTAGTGAATAAGAAAGATCAGTGCAAGTAATAATTAGCCAGGATAAGTGTGTGAACTCATTGTGAAAGTGAAGGCAGATTTTGCTTCATTTTAAAATTAAATTTGGCATTTGCTCATACAGAAGCTCACAGCGTCAGCTGTATGAGCAGGGTCATACTTTCAACATGGAGCTTCAACTTTTGAAGTACAAGCAGTGTGAGGAAAGTGCAGCCACACGTCTTGGTCTCCACATGAATAGTCTGAGCAAGTTTCAGTATTTTTGATCTATGAGTCACTGTTCTGTCTGATGAAACAAACCTGCTGAATAAGAACAACAACAGGATGTGGGTGAAGGGCAATCAGCCAGAACCACGGGCCAATGATGGTGAGGCCTGCAAATTTGAAATAAAGGAAGCTAAAGTCAACATATGACAGGGTTCAAAATATCGTTTTGTCTCAGCAGGGAAATAAAAACATCCTCAGTGTGAGCTGAAATCCTCCCAGCCTGCAGAGAGGATGCGCAGAAAGAAAAAACACGAGCAGGCAGAGAAAAATCTTTTCTGAAAACTTGGGGGGGAAAAAAGCACAACCCCCACCCATCTATTGAAACCACAGCTCAGTGTTTCACCACCCTTGGCAGGATGTCAGGACCTTGTTGATGTTGATTCACAGGCTGGTTTGTCAATTTACCGTCAGTGCCAACGGGTCAGAGCAAACAGGGTTTTAAAGGTGACACCCAGGCTTTGTGTCAGGGCGGCTTTGATCGGCTCAGCGGCTGCCTGGAGGACCCCGAGTTGGGACGTCAAACAGGACAGGCTGGAGTAAAGACACGGAACCACAACAGAGAGACAGTGATAGGAAGGACGAGGTGGCTTTTAGGGCAAGTCTACACAAGGCTAGCCTGGTTTTCAACAAGCTGCCTGAACATACATAGATAGATGGACAGATGGATTTGCTTTCCGCAATTTTCAAGGTGGTGTGAACTTTCGCACCCATTTTTTTAAAAGCAAAATTGCTGAAAATTACTTTTATCATGACAAATGTCAATATAGCAACAAACTGCATTTATCCAGCACACACTTTTGATTGACAGGACATTTTTAAGAAGTGTATGGGTGACAGCCAGCAAAAGCTACACATCATATAAATTACAAATGTTTACAAGTTATGATAAATCTGAAAAGTTAAAAGGATTAAGAACATTCTTTTTAAATTAAGTTTACACTTTTAATTAGATCAGTACTGCTCTGTTGTGTTGTGGAATTCTTCTACTGCCAGCTGCTAGATGCAGATGTTTGGTTGTAAACTATGTCTGAGTATTCTTTAGGACCTGCCAAGGACTCATCTACACTTTAAAACTGCCTGTTGGGAACAAGCTTGTATTGAAAGGCTCTTGCATCATGCATGCCTCCTGTGAAGGTGCGAGTCCCCTGCTCTGTGTCTTCAGTCAAAGACAGCAGCTTAATTGTGAACAGGGAAAAACCACTGACAAATAGGTGTAAAGATACCAGTCAAATTCTCCCCCCAGTGCTTTGTTTTCTGTTTCTCCCAGCTACATTTAATCTTTACACCATTTCTTTACAGGATTTAGCAAAGAATTATTAAAGCTTCTTCCGCTGAGTCTGAATCGCACAAGACAGCAGACACCTAAAAACTGTTGGTGGTAAATTAGTCTTTCGACCCCAGTCTGTAAAATTCAAACTAAAGTCTTGCCCTCTTTTTCCCATAGCCACATGGCTGATTTGAAACAGCCTGAAGGGGGGCCAGTATTTATTACCCCCCCCCC